ATTAGTAGCGAAACACATCATAATCATTACAGCCTTTCATAAGTCCACTGCTGAACATAGACCTCACCCAAGGAATGCCACAAAGCACGGTCCTGAGCCACCTGCATCCATCGACTTCCTGCATGTCTTATCAGGTCGTCACTCCATCTCGTGGGGGACGCCCTACACATCGCCTGTCGCTACGAGGCTGCCACTCAAGAACCTTTCTTCCCCATCGGTTGTCGGTTCTTCGAGCTATATGGCCGGCCCACTGCCACTTCAGCTTACTAATCCGTTGGACTATGTCGGTTACTCTGGTTCTACTGCGGATATACTCATTTCTAAGTTTATCACGCAGATAATCCCCAAGCATAGCCCTCTCCATAGCTCGCTGAGCGACCTTGAGCTTCCTCATACGGCCAGCAGTGAAGGACCACGTCCCAGATCCATAAGTCATCACTGGCAACACGCACTGGTTGTACAATTTCGTTTTAATGTTTTGAGGTATGTCGGACGAGAAGATGTGTCGTAGTTTCCCGAAGTTGTTAGTTTTCTTCACCGCTGCATTGGAAGACGTTTTCAAGCTTCTGGACTGGAAAGGATATGGTATTAACATCAATGGCGAGTACATCACTCACCTTCGATTTGCCGACGATATAGTCCTTATGGCAGAATCGCTGGAGGACCTAAGCACTAAGCTCAATGACCTCAATAGTGTTTCCCAACGGATAGGTCTTAAGATGAACATGGACAAAACAAAGATCATGTTTAATGTCCATGTCACACCTATGCCGGTAGTTGTTAGGAGCACTAAGCTCGAAGTTGTTGACGAGTATGTTTACCTGGGACAAATAGTCCGACTAGGTAAGTCCAACTTCGACCGAAAGGTCAATCGACGGATTCAACTCGGCTGGACAGCGTTCGGGAAACTACGACACATCTTCTCGTCAAGCGAAACACACCGAAGCCTAAATCGTGCTATCAAAGTTCCGAAGTAAAGCCGTATATATGGAATACCTCTTAATACCATTCGGAGCAGTACTGACACTACACCCACACCAAATGGGACAAACACTAATAGGACAACGGATGGGGCGCGTCGCACCCGTAGGCGGGCACGACGCGTTCCAACACACACCGCGTACACACCGTACACCCGCGTGCCTGGGCGGTTCTCACCGCCCAGAACATCTACCGATACGAGCTAAGAAGTCAGTGTCGGGGTGCGCATTCCCCCCCTCGGGCAGCGGTTAGATAGCTCAAAATTAACCTCAACAGAGGGGACATGATGATTGGTAAGCCCTGTGTCAGATGAAGCTGTTGCTGTTAACACCGCAAACATCACAGAAAATAGTTATTTACCATTCGGAGCGTTGGCCGCTCCCCAGGCTGAATACCTTGCCAGGCGGGGATCTTGCCTTTTCCATCCACGGCCAAAGGTTTTTTAAAATGCTTTTGAAAGGAAAAAAATTGCTCTTAAACGGCAATAAGTCAAAATGTATTAAATTTACAATTCCTAATGTTAAACATTCGTATATATATATATATATATATATATATATATATATATATATATATATAAATGTGTGTGTGTGTGTGTGTGTGTGTGTGTGTATATATAATGATATATTTATCATTAACATTTTAGTAAAACGTAGGGACTCTGCATACTACCGTCTACGGCACATCTCGCATGAGGTATAGAATATGAATTTTAAAAGAAAATACTCGCTCGCATAAAATTGACCGTCAGAACTTCTTCGAGGCCGGCTGAAAATCAGCGCTGCAAGCTCGCAGCATATGCTGAGACGGTCCCTTCCACCACTACATCATAGCACACCATTTTGTTTATAAGTCACTTGTTTTATTTTTAATTGTAATTTATCATGTGTGTAGATATAAGTGTTGAAATAAATGTCTTTATGTCTTTATGTATACCGATGTACTATTGATACGAAACTTCAATGGGGCCCCCATATATCTAAATTAGAAAGTAGCATATGCTGTAAGAAAGATGAGAAAGATGAGTCTCACAAATGGTGAGACAGCCAAATTAGTTTATTTTAGTTACTTTCATAATGTGATGTCTTATGGAATTTTGCTATGGGGTAATGCGACTGACAATGAAGCCGTATTTGTTTTGCAAAAGAGAGCCGATTATGAGCGATTTATAACTTAAATTGTAAAGAGTCCCTTAGAGCAAAATCTAAAGGAATAAACATATTAACTCTGGCATCGCAATATATTTATGAAAATGTAATGTATGTACATAAAAACATAAATAGCTTTGATAAGAAATAAGAATAAAGATGTTCATACTTTCAACGCTAGGAACAAACATAAGCTTGTAATATTAGTTAGGTACTAGACTTCACAGAATTTTACATGGTGGAGCCATGCTGCAACTATATTAATAGTATAGTTGTGGCACGAATGACTCGACTCGACCGGGGAAGGACCACACTCTCACAGATTACCAGCGTAACGCACCTGCATTTTAATTTGCATACGAAAGCAGATGTAGATGTCTATAGGCCACAGCATATTCTATAAAAAAAATTTATCGTCGTACGCAAAAAGCGACTGCAGTCGCTTTATGACCACTAGGTCAACGATGCAGCCGAATACCTCATATATCTTTGCCATAATACCATATAGTTTCTATGCACCAATTTCTGTTTGTCATCTACAACAATCAGTTCCATTTAAAATTTAAATTAAATAATTTTACAAAAGTTATTACGATTACCCACGCGTAGTACAACTTTATAATATAATTTACATAATACATAAGTCATTAACGCTATATTACATCGGACTAAGTGCTAATTGACTTATTAAGTTGTCGCTTCTCTTGCACCGCTTGATAAATGTTCTCCCGGTGTAAAACCTCGGCCATAGGAACCGACAAGTTGTTAAATTTTTTACTAACAGGAAATGTTTTTCAACATTCTCACAGCCTATTTATTAGCCTTTTTTAAGCCCGCATCTGTGCAAAAAACCTTTCCAAATATCAATCGAACATTTTTAACGCCATTTTATTCATTATGTGTTCGAGTACCTACCTACGTGAAATAGAAACAGAAACAGAAACTTTTTTATTCCATAGCTATAGGATAATTAATACTTACAGATTATTATACTTATTGAAAGTCACTCTTTTGTTTAATCTACCACTGGCACTTTACAGCCATGGTCACGTCGATGACATCAATACGTCAAACATGAATTCATGAAGTCATATGCTACCTTCAACTTTTATTTATTAACTAGCTGTTCCCTGCGACTTCGTCCGCGTGTAATTTAGTGTTTTAATTATTTGGCGCGGAAGCCTAATTCCTTTACTAAAATAAAATTATCCTAAGTTACTCCTTATAACATCAGGTATCTGTCGGTGAAATTCCTGTCAAAATCGGCCCATCGATTTCGGTGATTAGCCGGAACAAACAGACAGACAGACACGTACATGGCTGTACCACGTACACGTTTGTACGTAGTAGTCACTCACCATACGAAACACAGCAGTGTTAAGCTGCTATTTGAAGCTGGTATTCTGTGAGAGCGTGGTCCTTCCCCGGTCGAGCCAACCCATTCGTGCTACAACTAAGCTACTAATATAGCTGCAGCATGGCTCTACCACGATTCGATCGAAGCATTTACTAATTAGTAATTCCGAGAAATTTTCGACTGGAGATTTTGAGGCTCTTTCGCCCAAAATTTGTTAAACAAAATTAAAATTTTTTACATCGAAAGAAATTACATAATCCCATAATACACCATAATATGAACGCATGAGGCTGTGACTTAACAACATCTTGAGATCCGAAGTGACATTTCAATCAACTACCTCCGGATCTCTTAATAATGTACATAAAGACCTATCTAGATCTAGCCTGCTATTACAGCGTAAATTACATGAGATATCGATCTATCCGCCGACACATTTTAATTTGCAAACACAGATTATAAAAGATATGATGTTATTCGTTACAACCATCAAATACTTAGGTTACTGTGATATAAAGGTTTTTTTTTTATAGTTAGGCCATTTTGACGAAGAAGGTTGACGCGGTAGGAAAGAGCTTATGCTTCGGCAAGTTTTTTTTTTCTGAAAGTGTGTTGATGTGAAACCTGCGGCTTTTACAACTTCGCTGGCTTGCAAGCGAAGACTCGGAGAGTTATTGAAAGTGATGACAGTGTTCGCAATACCGCCTACAGTCCCGTTGCACCCCTACCCATTTAACCGATATACGATCTCGACAGCTAGGGGTGGCTAAAACAGGTTATAGATGCATTGTCACTTCTGGGGCCCAAGATGAAATGCCACACAGACTGATACGTCTTCTATGTTTTTTATACTTCAAACCAGAAACAAAAATAGACAAAATTCTTTTATGATACGTACGTGCAGAACTTTCAATGAAGTTTCCAATAATGTTGACTTGAACTTGTTTAATATCAATTTTTTTAATAGGATAAGGGTGACAAACGAGCACACAGTCCACCTGATAGTCATTGGTTGCTGTGGCCCATAGACGTCTACATCTATCCTCGATTACGAATCAAAATGGAGATGCGTTGTCACTCGTGAGGACTAAGATGGAATGCCTCGTTTCCAGTAAAAAGGGTCTCCGGTTCTCTACACTCACCATACGATACACAGCAGCATTAAGCTGTTATTTTACGCTGGTATTCTGTGAGAGCGGGGTCCTTCCCCGGTCGAGCCGATCAATTCGTACTACAACCATACTACTAATATAGCTGCAGCATAACTCTACCACGTATACCAATGTTTCTCGAATCAAAAATATTTTAGCAGAAAAATAATTTCGTAAAAATGTTCTTCTCGTTTATCTCTCGCCGACTTAAATTATTGTTTCTAAACTCTAATTTTTGTAATGTCAGCTCTAAGTTTTCCAAAAAAAAACAATGTCTACACTGCTGCTTGGCTTTATAATACGCAGTAATCCCTCTACCTGGTAAAAAAAAACACAATGACCTAAAATATAATATCTTTACAGCGACTCGGGAAGCCGCTTTCACATACGCAATAACATCCGCCGGGGTCACACACGCGCTGAGCACGGCGTGCGCACGCGGCGATCTGCCTGCCTGTCACTGTAACTCTAACAGGTAAGCTCAATGCTTTTGATTTCACATTAAACCTTTATTGTAGAAGAAAGGCTGAAAACGAGCAATCAGTCAGTATACTGTTTTTTCTTTATAGTATAAGGGCGACAAACGAGCACACAGTCCACCTGATGGCAAGTGATTGCTGCAGCGCACAGACGTTTACATCTATCCTCGATTACGAACCAAAATGCAGATGCGTTATCACCTGTAAAGACTAAGATGGAATGCCTCGTTTCCAGTAAAAAGAGTATGGGTTTCTCTACACTCACTATACGAAACACGGCAGCATTAAGCTGCTATTTTACGCTGGTATTCTGTGAGAGCGTGGTCGTACCCCGATTGAGCCGATCGTGTTATAACTATATTACTAACCGCTGCAGCATGGCTATAACACGTGAAAAAAACTGTGCTCCATAAACACCAACATCTATCCTCAATTAAGAAGCATAATCTAGATCCGTTGTCACTATCAAGGATTAAGATGAAATGTATCCAGTAAAAAATCTGTGTACTGAGCGAGCAATTACTATACCGCGAAAAAACCGACTTTGTAAATTGAAATCATCATCATTAAGAAAAGCCTAACAAAAGTCTTCTGTTGAACATTTTTTTTATTATTTCTAGTTATTACCGGAAGATGCCCATCCCCCGTTTCATTTCTTTCTGTGGCCTCTTACGACACCCACGAGACGATGTTGAACAGTAGATTGATCACGTACTATGAAATTTACAACAACAGCCCCTGAACCTGAAGGTGTGGTAATGATGGTGAATTCGACCATACACTAATGATATTGCTAATTGTAATTTTAATTGCAGATTTACCACGTGTTTTTGTGTTGAAAAAAAAACTTCGTTTGGAAACCTGCATGTCTGAGAAATAAGATATTGTAAGGATTAAAAAATTCGCCAACACGCACTTGAGCAGCGCTCTATCATTCTTTTAGAAATGAGAAGAGGCTTATGCCCTCCAGTCCAGGAATAAATAATAAAGATCTTGCTTGAATCTTAAATACGATTACATGCTTGGCGTGTGTAGTCAGATAATTTAATTATTTTCTCTCATAAAATTTTCTAGATTTACAATTTAACGTATTCTTTATTAACCCCTCTAGAAGACGAATGACTGGCCCTTCAGAACAATTCCAGTGGGGTGGCTGTGGAGAAGCGGCTTACGGTATGAGGTTCGCGAGGCGATTCCTCGACTCGAGAGAACTTGAAGCGGACGCCAGGAGTCTCATGAATCTGCACAATAACCGAGTGGGGAGGAAGGTGAGCGAGGTATATGTCCTTATTGAGAGGTGAAAGTAAGAGTTGCTTGTTTTTTGTTGAGTTTCGGGTTTTTGTTATCGTTTTCATGTCAGTTAAAATACGTATATACATGTTACGATTCTGTGTTTTAAGTATCTGCGCGTGTGAACGTGTAAACGAACAGTAGATGAAACAAGGACTTCTATGGTGATAAATACCTGAAATTTCCCGTTTAGATCTTTTAACATACTATCATCATTGAAAATCTGCTGGATTGAACGATCACTGTCCGGTTTTCAGACACAATTGTAGGACAATAGCAATGGCCTATATGTAGTGCACGGGACAGCGAAAGGGTTAATTTGTCGTCAAAATATCTGTAAGATTAGGTTGTGTTTTTTTTATAGGATAGGTTGACAAACGAGCACACAATCCACCTGATGGTAAGTGGTTGTTGTGACCAATAGACATCGACATCTATCCTCAATAAAGAATCAAAATGCAGATGCCTTGTCACCCGTGAGGATTAAGATGGAATGCCTCTTGTCCAGTAAAAAGGGTCTCTGGTTCTCTACACTCACCATACGAAACACAGCAGCGTTAAGCTGCTATTTTACCCTGATATTCTGTGAGAGCGTGGCCCTTCCCCGGTCGAGCTGACCCATTCGTGCTACAACCATAATATAGCTGCAGCATGGCTCTACCACGCGCACGTCTGTAGTTTTCACAAGGGCTTTCGCTTGTTAACAACTCAACGCTGTTGTGTAGTGCCTGCGTGAGAGGATCCATCATCTCATTACGTCCCAAGGATGTCCCATGAACCGTCTATGGGAAATGCTAAGTGAATTCAAATCTCATGACTTTCGAAAGATAGCGCTATAACTATTTATAAGATTTTAAAGTAGAAGCTGTTTACATACATATGTTGCACTAGGAACAAACACCCTGACCCAAAAGAATCATTCGTAAGCCATATAAAATACTTCTTACGTGCGGGGTTCGAACTCGCAACCCTCAACACCGCAACTCAATGGTAAGCCAATGCGCCACGGAGCCGTCATCAATATCGTCTTCAGCTACTAGTTCACAAAGCTTATATATTCAAAAATCTGAATCAATTGGCCAATCATCTACGTCTACGAAATTCTAAAATAATACGTTGCGAGGCAATCAAACTTATTGACGGAATAACGGCAGTAGAATATACTAGACCTGTTCCATCGGAAATGGAATAGAATTGCTGTACATATGTAAATTAAACCCGAACAGGGTTACCATATTTCAGGAATTGTCCTGACATGTCAGGATTTTAACATCTTGTCAGGATTGCGGTTCGGATTTTGGAAATGTAAAGATTTTACCAATTTATTTATAAATTATAGTTGATTTTTGGATTTTTCTTTTATTAGAAAATTATATTTATACGATAAACGAGTGATAAAATTCAAAATATTTGTACAACCGACTTAATATAAATAAAATTAGAACATCATCAATTTAGTCGAACTCAATTAAATATGCATTAGTTTTAAGGATAATTCAAAAACTATTGGTCAGATCTCGATCAAATTCATACGGGACCACATGCATAAAACATAATCATCAATTGTGATTTGCGATCAATTTGTGAATCAATCAACAAAATCGGTTCTTCTAGAAAAAAGTTCTGAGGTAACACATAAAAAATACCGTCGAATTGAGATCCTCTTACTTTTTTAAAGTCGGTTGAAAATAGTATTTTTCATTCGTTCATTATAGCTTATCAAAGTGTTATGTCGAACACAGGTCTCTCCATAGAATGCCTCATAAGAGGTACCAGGGCGGCTAAAAAGTTCGCGACCTAGGGTACTTAACGTTGAGTAATTAGCTTGTTACTCATGTCACTAGTTGCAGTACTCAGTAGTATTATAAAAGTAATCACTAATTAAGTTTGCACTCATAGTACAATTATTTATTGAACAACAAACATCACCATATCAGCCGAATCTGGAAATTCTCGGAATTTTGAACAGCGCGCCGTGATAAATTCCTCGTAAAGAAGGGATATACACCGAAAGACATGTTTGAGGAGGTGTTATCGGTTGTTCAGAATTCTGCGCCCTCATATATAATGGTGAAAAAATGGGCCCGCATATTTAAACAAGGACGAGAGAGCTGTGAAGACGACCCTCTCCCGAACCGCCCTGTCACGGTACTGACCGAAGAAAACGTCCGAAACGTCGAAAAAATCGTTCTGGCCGACCGAAGAATTAAATTGTGGCAGATTGCTGAAGAAGTGCAGATTAGCAAAGAACGATTTGGAGAAATTTTACGTGAACATTTGAATTTGAGAAAATTTAGCGCGCGCTTGGTACCTTAAATGCTCACACCGCTCTACAAGCAACGTTGACTCGCAAGTTGCAAAGATTTTTTGGAGCTAGTCGGCGTTAACAAGGAAGACATGTGGCAACGGATAATGACCGTAGATACAACATGGATTCGCGAATATGATCTGAACTCCAAACAACAGTCCATGCAATGGATAAAAAAAGGAGTAAGTACGCCGAAGAAATTCAAGCTGTAAAAATCGACGTCCAAGCTCATGGCGACTGTTTTCTGGAATAGCGAGGGAACTTTGCTCATCGACTACCTACCTAAGGGAACTACGATGAATGGCCAATATTACGCCAGTTTATTGACTCAGGTTCGCGAGGCTATTGTACAGAATTGACATGGGGAAACTGACGCGCGGAGTGCTCTTTCTGCAAGACATCGCGCCCGTTCACACCGCACATTGTGCGAGGCAAGCCCTGAAAAAACGGGGTTCTCAAAGATAGACCACCCTCCGTATAGCCCAGACCTAGCACCCAGCAATTTTTCCTGTTTTTTAATTTGAAAAGGGACCTACGGGGCCAGAGATTTACAGATCGTCATTTTGAAGAGAAAGACGCAAAATATTTTTGGGTGGATTAAAAGCATTGTATGCGAGATGTGAGAAATGTATTTCACTTGAGGGAGATTATATTTTACTTTTACGTGGTAGAGTTATGCTGCAGCTATATTAATAGTATAGTTGTAGCACGAATGGGTCGGCTCGACCGGGGAAGGACCACGCTCTCACAGAATACCAGCATAAAATGATCAACTTGATTTATTATTTCTACAATAGTTGTTAATTGCGTTTCCGCCAAAATGTAAGGTCTTCTGCATCGAAATCATTATTTTTGTCAGGACTTTTCAATTTTTCATCTGGTAACCCTAAAACCGACATTAAAATGTAATGTTAGGTTATAAATGAAATGGCATTATGCTAATTCCAAATGCAATGGAATAAACTGATGAATCCAAATAAGTGGTCAAACGTTCAATCAGTCTGTTTGCATGATTGCACAGTGTTGAAAATTATTTCTCGACTGCCCACTGGATGAATTATAATTGTGCGTGACCGCAGACCGTTTTGTTTAGGTGTATCAGGCCCGCCGCAACCACAGGGTTAATCGAATTGAGTGTTCAGACTTGTTTGAAGTTTTCAAAATAAATTTCTTCCTTGTTATTCTTTTGAGAAATCCTGTAAAAAATCTGCATGTACACAAATAAATAAAATTGAATTGTCTGTTTGTAATGTCAAAATAACAGCTTTTTACTAAATGCATATGAGAGTTTATACTGTACATATAATAAAACACAATTTTTAAATTTTTGTCTGTCTGTCTATCAGTCTGTCTGTCTGCTTGTTCCGACTAATCTCCGAAACAGCTGGACCAATTTTGACGGAACTTTCACTGGTAGATAGCTAATGTTATAAAGAGTAACTTATCTAATTTTATTTTGGAAAAATTATTAGGGTTCCGCGCAAAATAAATTAAAATCCATAAAATCTAATCGTAACAAATTCCACGCGGGCGAAGTCGCGAGGCACAGCTGTTCTTCTTCTCGTGTGTTTCCGCCAATATTTTTAAACTAGTTAATAGTCCGTTAGTAAGTGGCTATACATGGACACTTGCCACCAACCAAATTCAAATGACGATTGCCACTGATTCGTTATCAATTTCCACCCAGTGTCACCAACACTACGACAATTGCCGTATTCTATGACAATTGGACAAAAACTGATATAAATCTACGGCCTGTTAATCTCTATGTAGTTTGAATTGCTGCTTCATTGGTATAAAGGAAACATAAAAGAATTCGTAAATTAAAATGCTTACATCGTTTTCTTTTAGATTTCTAGCGATTAGACGAAAGTATAATTTAAAATTATAAATTTTGTTCAGCCGAGTTCAATATAAGTTATTAAGAATAACTCAAAAACTATTGGTCTGATCTTGATCAAATTCATATGGGACCACACGAGAAGTACCAGCTTTCAAATAAAAAAAGAATCATCCAAATCGGTTCACTCAGTAAAAAGTTATGACGTAACACACATAAAAAAACATACAGTCGAATTGAGTACCGTCTCCTTTTTGGAAGTCGGCAGAAAATCACGTACTCATATCTAATAGAATTGTTTTAATATGGTCTGTGCTAGTAGGTACTTCTCATTAATTTATGATTATGATCTATGGATCATTTTATTCACGCCAACACTATGTCCGGATACGTGCAAAATAATTATTTGAATTTAGTGATAAACACGGCCTACGGCAGTATCTCCATTGTTGTAGAAAAACATACATCAATTTTCTTGCACGGTTGGGTTTTAAGGCGTTTCCCTGACCAAATAACCTTGAGCATGCAGTGCACTGCCGCCCGCACTCTGCGTACGCCCGTTTATCATAGAATTCACACAATTTTTGGAATTAATTTTAATTAAAAAATAAAATTGAACTTTAACAATTAAATAAAACGTGAATAAAATAGATTTTTAAATTATCTATCCATTATTGTAATCCTCAAATGAATATAGCGTTGCCTTTAGCAACAGATGCATGTAATCAATAATTTTAGTCATTTTTTAAAAATGGATTTTAAATGTATTTATAAAACATACTTACACTTTTAAATGTATTTATATACATACTTTTTTTAAAGTAGATTTTAAATGTATTAATAACACATAAAATCAAATTAGAACGTGGAATGTTATGATAGGATATCGAACATTAATAATGTGCTTTTAGATGTAGTTTATTTCTCATAACTAATGAGATAATAGTCTCTGAATAACGAAGAAAAACGCACTATCGCAAGGTTTTGGTCGGGGTATCGCCTTAATAGGATTGGTCAGAAAGTTTTAAATCTCTGGCTAGATGTTCGTCTGTGTTGTCTGACTCTGTTACTTATTTCTATCGGCAAGCAGCAGTGTGTGCACTACTGTGTTCCAATCTGGAAGGTATCTCCTATACCTTCGTGACTGTCTAGTTAGTATAATAACAGGCTTTGAGGTATTAAAACTCAGTCCTCAGACGTGACAACGCATCTATCAACTGCGTGAAGATGGTTGGTTGATAGGAAATTAGTTGTTAATTTATTTTCAAATATATCTTTGTCTCATTTATTTCCTTTTTCATGCATCGCAATCGACTATTTCATACATACACAGCAATATCTCTCACCAAAAGTGGGAATTGAAAATTTGGCTCTGGCAACAATGTATTTGGGGTACAGGGGATTAAGTTTAAATGCCTCTTAGCCCGTACTTCAACATGCTGTTGTAGACATGTGTCATTCGTTCATTTCCAGTGAACCGAAAATTCCTTTTTCTTCTTTTTGATCATCTTTGATTCGTCTTCCGAACCGGGTCATTCGGGTCGATCATTCAAATGGATCATTTCGAGTTTCAGTGGTCTGTGAGATCCACTCGGTAGTGTCGGTCGTCGGACATTACTATACTCTTTGATCGTAGGTTCTGTCAATCTTTTAATCCGGAACTTACAAAAAATATAACTTTAATCATCAATACTTTTATACGGCCCGGTTCAAATGAACGAATCATTCACGATTGATGAATCTTCAAACCAGAAAACAGCAATGGGTATACTGCTGCCTGACAACAGTACAAATGGTAAGATGGTCCAACCCCGACGTACATCTAGACACAAAAGAAGTTATTTACAAGGAAAAATTTTATATTTGCATAAAATAAAACAATTAAAAAGATATAAATACATTAGCTCAGAACCCACAAACAACGTTTCGCATAAGTTTGAAAAGCATGTCATTAATTTAATGGTATTCAAATAAAAACAATACCTACCTAAGAGGAGCAAATTACAAGAGAAATATTTAACAGCCCGAAGTCAAATTAACGGCAGAAGTTGTGAGAACCATCAAAGCATCTTATTACTTGAAGCTCACTGGCGAATTAGCGTTTTATTTTACAACAACCAACCCGCGAATCAGTCGCCATTTTTTATTTTACTTTTTTTCGGTGGCCCGTTCCGCCGCACGCAATGGTTATTATCGACAGATAAAAAATGACGTGTTCTCGCGTGTTTTAAATTATAAAACATTGAGTTATTTATTTTTATTTTAATGGACTTGCAAAAATCGGTTTCCGATAATATTACAGTTACGATTTAATAATAATGAAGCACCGTGTAGTGGCTATGTAAAAATATCATATACCTCATATCGTCCCTTAGACATGATGTGATGGGCTGTGTGGTGATTCTGCCCAGGGAGCGGCCAACGCTCCGAGTGGTAGTTCGGGGCTATTCTATATATACTGCTTTTACTTCGAAACTTTGATTGCGAGATTTAGACTTCGATGTATTTTCGATTGATGCGCGACCACAGCGCCGCCACAATGGTCATATCGTCCCGCGGGTGTCCTAGGCTATCTATGGGCGAGTCCTATTTCCAACAGTGGACTTTTGACAGGCTGTAACGGAAACGGAATTATTTATTGATCTATGATAAATCATTTTGAAAAAACTGGTCAAGTGCGCAGCGAAACACGCACAACGTAGGATTCCGGAGTTTCCCGTAACAACGAATTTAGAAGGCGACTTCTTGATACTATGAGTATATTAATTGTGACCGCTATACGATTAACAAATAGGACGATAGTAACTGAAGGACTTATTTTGCAAGCAGACTTATGGAGTGGTACTCAAAAAAGATTAAAAAACTTTTGAATTTGAAAATAGAACAATCTGCATCAAATCATTCACATTCCAAGTTCGTACAAAAATGATCATTGTTCCTTATCCATATTAACAGTGGTAGAGCCACGCGGCAGCTTTTGCTGTCGCACGGATGGGCCGGCTCGAACCGGGGTAGTACCACGACCTCACAGAAAACCAGCGTGAAGTAGAGGTTTACCTCTGCGTTTCGCTTGGTGAGTGCAGGTGGCCGGAGGCCCTTTTTACTGGAAATGAGGCATTCCATCTTAGTCCTCACGGGTGACAACGCATCTGCATTTTGATTTGTAACAGAGGATAGATGTAGATGTCTATGGGCCGCAGCAACCACTTACCATCAGGTGGACTGTGTGCTCGTTTGTCACCCTTATCCTATAAAAAAAAATCTATTAGTTCCCGGTAGTCCAATCCTAAGATATACATGAATGTAACGAATCTTCTCCTAAACCACTATTGCTCTAAACCAGGGTTTCCCAACCTTTTTTTGACCAGGGACCACTTTGATTTCTTTGTTGTTAACACGAACCACAAAGTGTAAGAAAAAGAAATGTTAATCTAACAATAAATTTTAATCACAACTTTTAACATAATTATACAATAAACTAAAAACAAGCATTCATTCACAGTACGAGGGTGGATTGAAAAGTACTCGGCCTAACCAAGAAAATAAACACATACTAAATCAGTTATATTTTTATTTTTCTACATAATCACCATCAAGTTCAATACACTTTTGCCACCTCCCCTTCCAAGCATTTAGATCGTTGAAAAAAAATGATTCTTCCTTAGAGTCAAAATATGCGTCTACAGCTGCTTTGACCTCGTCGTTTGTCGAAAATCTTTGACCTCCCAAGTGCTTTTTTAGGTTAGGGAACAGAAAGAAGTCTGATGGTGCCAGATCAGGTGAATACGGCGGATGCGGTAACAGTTCAAAGCCACAGTTGTGAATTTCAGCCATTGACTGTACTGACGTGTGAACACGGGCGTTATCTTGATGAAACAGGACTTTTCTTCTGAGCATTCCTCGACGTTTTTCTTTTATTTCCTCTCGTAAACGACGTAGTAAGGTGCAGTAGTAATCAGAGTTTATATTCTGACCCCTTTCAAGATAATCAATCATAATCACACCTTTCGAGTCCCAGAATACTGAAGCCATCACCTTATTTGCCGACAAAATCGACTTAGCCTTTTTAGGGGGTGGTGAACCAGGTCTTCTCCACTGTTTTGATTGTTGTTTTGTTTCCGGTGTACAGTAATAAACCCATGTTTCGTCCATAGTAACAAAACGATTCAAAAAATCATCTGTATCGGCTTTAAATAACTCCAAACAGTCGCGTGAAATAGTCAATCGCGTCCTTTTTTGTTCAACTGAAAGCAGTCGCGGAACCCACCTCGCAGACACCTTGTGGAAACCCAACTCGTTGACAATGATGTTTTGAGTTCGTTCATAAGAGATGCCTATAATCTCGGCTATCTCTCTAATTTTTAATCTGCGGTCTCCCATTATTAAATCAAGTACTTTTTTAATATTTTCGTCAGTAGTTGACGTCGAAGGCCTTCCAGAGCGGGGTTCATCTTTCACACTCTCTACCACGCTTAAATTCTGCTATCCATTTTTGACGGATGAATATGACAGAGCACAATCGCCTAATGTACTGACCATGTCATCATGGATGGCTTTTGATGATAGCCCCTTCTTATGGAGGTACTTAATGACGGCACGCTGCTCGATTTGCTCCATTCGCGGAAATTATGTCCGATTACTTTGTTAATAAATTTATAAAATCACAACTAATTATCGCACACGTTTCGAACTTCACACAATGAACTAGTCTGAACTGAACTGAATAATGTGGGTAGATTTGATTTTTAGAATTGAATGGATCTGTGTTAGGCCGAGTACTTTTCAATCCACCCTCGTATTATTTGTGTATTTACTGAAAAGGAAATCATACATGGTTGGTAAAAAATTGCGATTTTGAAGATGATGATGATGATGACTCACAGTGTTGCACTACCCACGTGACGAAAAATAATAAATATGCTATTTAAAATAATTAGGTAGGTAAAATATTTAAATATTTCGCGGACCATATTTAAGCTCTGCGTACCATTGGTTGGAAATCACTGACCTAAACTATCCTGAGGGTCGCTTGCCTAAACCAAGAGCCACCAATGAAACTCTAGGCCTACAATATCTACTAACTACAAAATAGTGAAAGTGATATGTCAGGATTGGTCTCTTGGCGATTGATCCTCTCCGCCCACCCCGCAAAGCTATAGTGCTAATTGATAAGTCGTTTGCTATCTTAACCATCCATCTTAGTGTATGTATGGTAACTTTGTAGCCTACTGGCTCGTTTGTCTCTCCAACATTATAATAACCGACCAAGTGCAAGTCGGACTCCCACATGAAGGGTTCCGTACCATCATGATACAAGTTTCCAATAGAGGATACCCTTTTTTTATTTATTGTAATTTTTATTAGATGTTGTAATAGCAGTAACATAAATACCTATATATTCTGTGAAAATTTTAACTGTCTACCTATTACGGATCACGAGATACAGCCGGAGGCTTAGTAATAGGGTGCCGTTGGTTACCCTTTGGGTGCGGAACCCTAAAAAGAGAGCCATAATAACATCTTATTACTATAACTTGTGTCTTTATCAGATAGTAAAGGATCTAGTCCGGCGCGAGTGCAAATGCCACGGCGTGTCCGGTTCTTGCGCGCTACGGACGTGCTGGCGCGCACTGCCGCCATTCCGGACGGTGGCGGCCGCGCTGCGGGACCGCTACCACCGCGCCAAGCTGGTCACCGTCCACCCGCCGCCAGCCACGCACGCACCGCACTCGCATCTTGTTATACGAAGGTGAGTATAATCCTTCGTGTAATTAGGAACTTCTTCTACGTACGTTAAGTAGCTACTGTCGGAAGCTGTGGTGTGTAACTGATCTACAAACAGCGATATTATTAAAAAATATAATGCCACAAATGGTGCATGGGATGTGCCACGGAGGGGAGCAGTGGTATCGTGTAAATCGTCTAAGAAATAAAATATTCCGAGGAAATGTGAAGCCCGCCAACACTCAGCTGCAAGCATTGAAATTTGTAGCAACAGGAGTTAAAAGACACTCGTGTTGCTACAAATTTTAATTTTAAACTTTTTTTAATTTTCATTTTAAGTAGGTGTAGATTTTCTCGATTTTTTTTTAATAAATACCTGTAATTTTTAAAATACATAGCAAAATATTTTTTTGACTTGACCTATCACCCGATTCCGGCTTGACGTAGACTTCTGGGGCAACCTGTATATGAGACGCTAACCTAACACGAGGCTCTGTTTTTGAGCTTTTTAGTAACATGATTATCAATTATCATCTTGGAAGCTTTGCCGTTATAACCCCACTTGGCAGTCGAATTAACGATCGCACTTAAAACATAAATGGATTGACTTGACCGGGAAAGAACAACACTATTACAGGATACAAATGTTCGAAACAGCAGCAAAATGATGTAAAGACTGCTAATGAGCTGGAGGCCATGCTGGTAACAGATTATTCCATCTAACTACTCAGGTGCCACGTATCTGTATTTTGATTTTTAACCGAGGATATTATGGAAGTAGATGTCTGATCAAAAGGACTGTGTGTTCATGTATCACCATGCTCCTGCACCAACTATAACTCAAACTCAAATTTAAAAGCCCCCGAAAAAACAGCTGATTACCTTGAAACGGCTGAACCGATTTTCTTAAACATGTCTAAGAACCACCGCTAGAAAACCTGCTTTTAAATTAAAAAAAATCGCCACCAAATCGATTCACCCGTTTAAGAGCTACGGTACCACAGACAGACAGACCGACTTTGCGTCGGGGGTTCATAAAAATACATCTCGCACATTTAATACTGCTTCCTTCGCCGGTCTAAATACATTACAGCTAATAAAGACGCGATTTATTATTAGAGTGACGACCTGGTAAGACATGCAGGAAGTCGATGGATGCAGGTGGCTCAGCACCGTGCTTTGTGACATTCCTTGGGATAGGCCTATGTTCAGCTGTGGACTTGTGAAGGGTTGTAATGACGATGATGATGATAGACGCGATGGTTATACTGATATCTATCAGTGGCCGTGAGACCTAGCGTTTCTCTATACAGGATTATTTAGCAATAATAGGCCAAATATGCAGAGAAGGTTCAGAATTAGTAATATAGGTGAAGAAAACTTAATTGAAAAAATCTCAAACATTCTGTCCGTTTTACCTTTTAATTTAAAATGCGTGGTTATACATTATTCTAACTGATTGTCATTCATAAATATCTAACGCCTACTATTTTACTACGCACGCACACGTTTTTAAATCCGTCGCCAAAAACGTTGTGAATTGAATCGCACATAGAGGAACGCGCGCACGCGTAGTTGTTGCCCATAAATCACATTCAATTTGGGATAATTTCAAATAAAAATAGAAGCCTTATTTACTCGTATTTTCAAAAACTGCAATAACGGTATATCATTATTTATATATTTGAACTTAAATTTTAAAATTTGGATATTCCCGTAGGTATCCTAATAAGCGTCAGAAGGACACAATCCAGAAGATTGTCAGCAACGTCTTGATAATAACAACTAAAAATAAAAAACCACGGTTACCAACCAGCCACCAAGGCGTGGCAAGTATGGCAAAGGCCCTCCTTCCTATGAGGCAATCTTTGGGGGAGGCCTATGTGCAGCAGTGGAATTTCGATAGGCTGTTAGGGTAACACTAACGATAAACACCATTTACAATTTGCAGATCGAGACATAACGCAGGCATTGGGAGGCAACCGCGCAAGTCAGAGCTGGTTTATCTAGAACCCTCCCCTTCCTACTGCGAGCCGGATCCAGTTTCAGGGTCCCTTGGGACCCATGGTCGACATTGTAATAGGACATCTCGAGGTAACAAATACAGGGCTTTAGTATTTTCTTCTTCACCTTTAGTCCAATTGTGGAGTAAGGACCCTATTGGTCATGAGCTCCCTTAGGAACGTTTATTTCATTTATTGGCGTTTAGTTTAAAAGAGAAATTATAGTTAGGTAGGTACGTAACCAAATAATAAAAGAAAGAGAGAAAAAACATTTATCCTTGGTAAATACAACTTTTATAATAATTTTAAATAATCTAGAACAGTTCTATAATAGTAATATAATATACAAAAAAAAGGTGCGTGTTAACTCTGACACGGATAATATATTCCAAGACAATTCAACATTCTTATTATTAAGACACTTAAGATAAAGACACTAGATGGCCTAAACATGATTTTTTTTATTATATTATAATAAACAAATATATCACGTTTAGGGCATCTAGTGTTCTTTTACGATACACTGTCACTGTAAAAATCAAAATAATCTATTGAATGAAGTAGATGGCGCTAAACCTTTACACGCGTTCAGTATAAGAGCTGTTGTTGCACGGAGGGGCAATATAAAGACTACGTTATTTTAACACTCGATTTCGCTCCCCATCTAATTTGTGTACCGTGTTATATGAAAATCGATTATTGACCACATATTTTTACAGGAGAAAATGGTTGTGAAACTCTGTGCTGTGGTCGCGGTTACAACACTATACGCACCGTCGAAGAAACGAAATGCCGTTGCCAGTTTCACTGGTGTTGCCGAGTGACGTGCGATAAGTGTATCTCTCGCACTGAAACGCATGTGTGCAAGTGAACTACAAGTGACGCCATCTAGCGGACAATAGTAATTTTAAATCAGTGAATATTTATACGATTAAGGGCTGATTTTTTAATCCCCACATAAAAGTTGTTCATATAATAAAATACGGCGTAAACAAATTAAAGATTGTTGTTTGAATAAAATAGTTCAATTGTTTCACTTTTATATTCAATCAAATTATAATTTATTTCATGAATAACTTTTGCCTGACTATTGAAAAATCGGCCCTAAATATAATTGCCATTTATAACTGTGTAAACTATTGTGTAAACATACAACTTACTAACTTTATATAAAATTATGCAAAACTTTTCTTTTGTAAAACGATTTTTATCAATCTACTCTGTATTATCTAAAAGTTATTTCTTTTTAATTTAATACGGTTTTGTAATAATGTAAAATTTTTAATAGTTCTATGATGGATAATGCATTAAGTTTATTAATATTTCTCTAGGTCGGAAAATTTGTGACTTACGAAAGCATATCAAATAAGTAACATATTATATATAACATCGCCATCTATACACTAGTATAACATGAAGACTTACGCTTAATTTGTATACGTCCATTTTTAAATTGCCAGTTAGAAAGTGTTGCCATAGAATAAGAATTATTTTAATACTTATCATGAAGTTATTTAATTGCTTATGTCTATAATTAATTTAATGTGTTTGTAAATAATGCCGTCAGTATTTTATATTAAAATGTAGCTTACAAAAATGTGCAGATGTTCATGTACTATCAAAATCCGAAAATATTATTTATAATATTACTATGGTATTAATTAATACTATGCTCTAAAAATTAAATATTACGCTATACCACAGTTCTGTGACATCAATCAATTGTGTTTATCGGGCTCTCTAGAGTTTAACAATTATTTATTTCATCATTTAACAGATACATGACAATTATTAAATAAAAACTTATAGGACATATCGCTTGTTCAAATTGTAAATAATATTAGCAATATAACTCAATAGATACTTATTTCAAGTTCAGCGAGATATTTTATTTACTATCAAAACGTGACATTTACGGATAGATATAATAACGCTGAAACTGTCCTCGCAAAGACAGTCAAACTTACCTTCCTCTATTAGATATGTCGCAGCCAACTAGTTTAATTAGCCTTTTAGTTAATCGGCTAGCCTTGATAAACGTAATTTAGCCGTCTCGTTGAATGAAATTAATAAGGTTACCATGCCACATAATGTCGCTTAGCTGTGCCTTATTATGCGCTATGTGCTACATTATATAAATGTAAGCGGCTTAAGGTGGGCCAAGCGACTCCCCAGCCGTGCCTTAACCTACTGTCGCTGATATTACAAGTTAGGTGCAATGTTGTATTAGACGCATAGGCTGAATATCATCCAGGCCCCTAATCCAACGGCGCCGTTTAGTAAAAAGGCTAGGCTGTTAACTAAAAGACTAATTAAGCTAGTTGGCTGCGACATATACACTATATGAAATTCCCAGTAATGTTAATGCATGTTTCTATGCCCAACAGGAAGCTTTACCTTGCCTGGATATGATTGGTGTATAATGCACATAATTAGTTGTTTTCCCAAATATTCTAAAAATTAATGAACTAATTCATACTCCAATATTTATAGAGTAAGTAAGTAAACAAAATCCTTAATTGAGCATGACCTCACATTGATCAAAAGTCCAACATTGATTTCGTATAATATCTCACCAAACACGGTCCTGAACCATCTGTGCAGGGACCAACAATAAGTTTACCGATATTAGGATGACACTCAACTTTGTCTTCCTATTGGTTGCCGTTTCTACAAGCTATATGGCCAGATCAATGCCACTTCAGCTAACTATAAGATGGATTATTATAAATCAACAACTTGTTAATTGAACTCTAATCGATCCATTAAGCACAGATCTATTTATCCAGAGTTACAAGGTGATCGCCTATTTATCAGGCACCGTACTCTCCGCGCGCGTCTTTTTGCTGAAGGTCTCGAACACAGTACGTACGAGGCGGAAAATTGCGCGACGCTGCGTAGGATGTAATAAAAGGAGAAAAATTTTTTTGAAAAGGCGTGTGCGGCGCGGTGCGTACGTATTGATAAATATACGATCCCATTTTAGTCGCTTCTAAATCACTATATTAAATAGTATCACATAAGTACCTACTTAAATTAATAGTACTTAATTTTTAAGTACATAAGAAAACATTCCGCTTAGATTAAGGCCTAACTTATTCATTTTACCATATAATACGTTTTTTGAAATAAAACCTTATCACGTATATCACGTAGTTTTCTTTCATCACTGTTTCTTACTAACTTATTATATAACATTTTACAAGTACTAGTCCCTTATATTTTTATTGTTAAAAGTCTAATCTAGGAACTGATGTGTGCACCCTTATAGATTACAAAATATTACAAAGTACTATAAAATTAAGACACAGCATAGTGACAATAGCTAATAAAGAAACATTTCGCAAAAAAAATGCCTAAAGGTAATATATAACTAACAAAATAAAAGCATGCATATTTTTTTATAGAATAAGGGTGACAAACGAGCACACAATCCACCTGATGGTAAGTGGTTGCTCTGACCCATAGACATCTGCATTTATCCTCAATTAAGAATCAAAATGCAGATTCGTTGTGACCCCTGAGGACTGAGATGGAATGTCTCGTTTCCAGTAAAAAGTTCCCCGGTTCTCTACACTCACCATATGAAACACAGCAGCATTAAGCTGCTATTTGATGCTGGTATTCTGTGAGAACATGGCACTTCCCTAGTCAAGCCGACCCTGTCTCCTGCTAACTATAATGTCTCAGGTTCTCTCTACTCACGATACGAAACACAGCAACATTAAGCTGCTATTTAACGCTGGTATTCTGTGAGAGCGAGGTCCTACCGCGATCGACCCATTCGTGCTGCAACCACAATATAGCTGCAACATAGCTCTACCACGTAAAAACATATCCAGAGGTTATATTTTTTGGAGGTGCGTATCATTTTTAATAAATTAAAATATACGCTACTAAAATATTTTTCTTTACGACTGCATTCTAGGGGCGAGTAGCAAAAGACGTCCATTACGAAAATTTCAATTGCAACCTCCATTGGATGGTTCGCCAGCTTCGGCTTTAGAGTTCAAACTTTGAATTCGAATAAAATTCCGATGCCGATTTATTAATATTTATTTCATTATTTTTAAAAAATGTCTAATTCTATATTTATTTTAAACTTTTATAGTTGCAAATAAACAGGCATATACTTAGGCATTTTATCACATTCCTCTCATCACGTACTTAGGTACATCTACAATAGATCATTTAATACTTTTAGCTTAAAGTATAGTGTTATTTTTTATGTTTACCTATCAAGCTCTCTTATGAATTGACCATTGTAATTGTTGCACAAAACATTTTCTTCCGATGTAATATGTAATAAGTTAATTAATTTAAATGAATCTTTGATAACAGTTTAAAACTGGATCTAGCGATAGTTGATCGCATGTTAAACTCATCTCTCGGATAAAATTACATAGGTATAATCTATTGTTGGAACATCCGCATCCGTCTTCTAATCAGATATCTGCACGTGATTTACTAAAATGTAAATTTAATGCAAAATGTTTGCACTTAACATTACAAAATACAACCTAATTTTATTTTTGTAACCGTTGTCCATTTGGTGGTAAGTGGATGATGCAGCCCATAGAAAACATCCCTCAATCTAAATAAAATAAAGCAGTAAATGGTGAGTTTGTACATTGACGGATTCTCCTCCATCCCAAACATCTTTGGATTGGAGTAAAGGCCAAAAGCTTTTTTTTTTATTGAAACTAACTTTTTTTCTATTCAGTTTTTTTTTAATTATGTTATATACTCCCAAACCAATTCATATCAAGCATATTTTTTAATCTCTCTTATGTCTGTTTATTGTAAATAATTTTATCAATTAAAAATTCACTTCTAAAATATTTTATTGCGTAGATAGGACAAGCTTGTCAGACAACGAGCGCCATCTAGGGGCAGATAGCTGAAAACTTCCATTATGAAAATAGCGATTCAAACCATGGTAGAAAACTGTAAAAATGCCGAATTTATCAAAGACCGATGACAAAGCAATAATTTAAATAGTTTGTACCATTATCCTTGTAATAGACCCTTGCGTAAAATTGATACAAATCGTTGACTGGCACGAAGGGAAGATGAGCTGCTGAGGAATAAGGAACAATAACTCAAACAGCTCATAAGAAAAGGAATGGACAGCACAATACCTTGACAATGAGCGGCGTATCTCGTATCTTCGACTGCTGCTGGACGCACGATGAATTATGATGATACTTGAACTCTTCCCGATAAATTCGTATGCACCAAAACAAACTTCCACCGATTAAATAACTTTTAAGACAAAAAATTTCTCTTGCGGTTTGCGTTGACAATTATACCGTATCGGACGGCCGTCCGACGCCGCGATCCAATTCACTCTCGGTATGTGCGAAAAGGAAGTTTTGCCAGCCAAATCCTCTAAACAAACGAAATTCATGCGGTGGCGCAACCACAGAAGCGTGTTTTTTAGTTTTTTTTTTTTTTTAACTATTATTTATTTTTCTTTAAAGATGAATGTGTTCATGGCAGTAAATATTTTTCTTCAAGATCATAGCTCGTAAATACAACTTTCCGCTCTGATTCTTGGGGATCTTTTTTAAGTTTATCGGTGGACTCACCTCTTCAGATATTATTGGGATTTTGTACATTTTGAATTAAAATCCAACAAAGGCAGGTAGGGTAGATTACTACATTTTTTTTTTGTGATAGGAGTAGCTTATCCCTGGGAACTTGTTTGAATATATTTTAATTATTTTAGAAATATCATGGTAAAAATACAATAAATTTTTTGAAGTTATTCAGTTTCGTGCACTAAATTATTTTTTAAATATTTTTACAACTTCCTTAACAATAATTTTTCGATAGTCCTTGTATAGTGCCGCCAACTTATCTGTGTGG